TGTGTAGCCCTGGCTGTCCTGGAACTCACTCTGTAGACCAGGCTGGCTTCGAACTCAGAAATCTGCCTGCCTCTGCCTCCCAAGTGCTGAGATTAAAGGCATGTGCCACCACTGCCTGGACCCTGGAAGTCCCCATTATGCTTCCTTCCTCCTCTGGGTGCACAACAGAAGGTTCATATAGTTCAGAGGACAAGGAGGAAGACTACAGGAAAGAGTTTCTGTTCCTGGGAGTTGTTTGTGGCTGCCCACTGCTCCCAGGGAAGTCACAGGAGGGAGTGTGTATAAAGCCTGCTGTCACTGGGCAACTGGCATTTCTGAGGTCTCGATGGTTTTCAGACTGGCTCTCATGAAGTCCAGGCTGACTTCAAACAAGCCAAGGGTGACCTTGAACTCACCTGCCTGCCTTCACCTCCCAAGTGGGGCTGACATTAGTCACCATACCCAACCAGAAGTCTTAGGAAACAGGACTCTGAAGGACAATTTTTCTGTATTTTTCTGAATCAAAGTACCTTTAAAAGCACTTCAACTGTCACCCACAAGGGCTAATTCCTTCTAAGCCTAAAAGTACGTGATGGCTTTAGGCATCTCGGCAGAGGCAGGATTCCCAGAGTAGTTTACACTTCCCAGGGCTTTGATGGCCAGAGCAAGCCAGTAATTCTGGTGCGATGAGGGTGAACGGGCAGCCAGAGGCTGAAGTACCGAGTGGGCCTCCGTTTCAAATTTGGTCACAAAGAGTTACAACATTCACAGGACACAGCAGTGTATAGCTCTGGCTTCTCTTTTCTCAGGTATTTGAAAGCAGGGCTTGTCTGACTAGCAGATTAGAAAAAGATAGGGGATGTGTCCCCATACTTTAAAGGCAGGGGAGAAAGCCTTGTTGTGAAGACACAGAACCTGTTTGGTGACTTGTCACTTCAGAGGGAACAGAAACCTCTCCAGGTGAACATTCACGCTCCTCCCCTTCCTCCTTCCATCCAGCAGTCTTGGCTGGGGACCAGGGCAAGGACAAGGGACCCAGAGAAACAAGGCTTCTGCTCATCCAGACATACCACTATTGGGTGACAGAAGTCTGAGAACATGGGGAGCAGTTTAGGGCAAAAATGAGTTTATTAATCTTGCCAGGTCACATGGATAAAGTAGCCAGAACTGAACAGTGGCCTCATTGTATGTGAGTCACGGCTAGGACAACAGCTGTCGCACACACACATATTTTTTGGATAAGAGTAAATTGTTGCGATGTTTATCTTCTCTTTCTTCCTCTTTAATGCATGTTAAAGAGCTGATATCACCTGCACTTAGAAAAAAAGAAAGTCACCACTGAATCCTGGGAAAGGTCAGATCCCCACAATCAAAGCCCTGGGGATTTAGGAAGAACGCACTTGTTGGTTTTGTTTTGAATGGATACTAGGTTTCCCTTGGTTTCATTGATTAACTCCAGCAAGCTCCTTATGAAAGCTAGTTCCCAACCTGGTCCTACCCTGCTCCCCACTAGCTGTGTGTGCAAAGAGTTCTACAACCATAGATCTGCTTCCGTAGCCCTGCCTGCAGGTCCCCTCTCATGGTTGAGGAATCCATGAGCAGTCTCAGTGCATAGTAGAGGCCTCAGTGTGGCTAGTGGGCAGCATCCTTCCTTTTCTCTTCAAGCATCCTTATGAGAGAATGTAACCTGAGTGAGGAAGAAAGCAAAGATCAAAGGTTCGCTTATTTTATGAAGATAAGCATGCACACTAGGTAGGGGGTCCTAATGTGGTAGGGAAGAAGCAAGATGATAGGGAGAAGGCAAGGGAAGCAGATGCTTCCCTCCAGGCATTGCTAGGTAGGGCTTTGACTTGTAAGATTCTAGTTTGGACATCTGTATAAAGGAAGGTTCCTAAAAGCAAAAGAGAAATTGGTGGTGGTGGTGGTGGTGAAGATTTTCTAAATTTTACATAGTATGATAGAGTTTCCTAAAAATGAATTGCTGTTTATAAATGCTACCTGACAAGAACCTGGGACCTCAGATCCACCTTTCCTTTTCAAGTCAAACTTGCTTTGAAATATGATCCTTCAGTAGTAGGAACGAGATGTCATTTAAGAATGTCATGTCACATAACTACAGCACAGAAACTAATGCTTTTCAGCAGACAATACACACAGCAGGGTCCTCATCAATCACAAAAATGGGACTTTAATTAGGGCATTGGACATAAGTAACAACTTAAGTAACAGTCAATATAATTATAGATTAAATAGAGAGAAAATATGAATAAATAATAGAAAAAGATATAACCCTTTAAGAGGAAAAATATCGTGCATAACATAATACAGTAGCTTATAGGTAAGATAAAATTCTGTTTTCCAAAATGTAATTATGAGAATATATTAATATACAGTCAAACTCATTCTACTCACAATAAGATCATAGAAAAAGGTAAAAAGAAGTAATTGTCTATGAAGGATCGGTAACAGCTGTATGGAGACCTTCAGTTATTAAACACTGCGTACGGCATCTCACTTTGTCAGAAGAAACATCCTGGTTCCTCTCAGGAAACCCATCAGAAGTCAGAACAAAATTAAAAACACTTGGAAAAGTTTAAAGTCCCTCTTTAAGATTTTAAAATGTTCGAGATGACTTCGGGAAGAGCTGAGCCAGTTGTTAGACCTTGGTTCCAAAGAAATAAAATCTCGTCATTCATTGTATGTAACTTACGAGCTAAGTGGAGACCCAGGAATTCGTCCCTCACAGCTCACTACAAGTCCGAGTCTTAGTAATACTCAACAGGAAAAGCAATGGGCTCTGTGACAGTGAGTGCTGCCGAGGACCCACAGGCAGAAGGGTGTGGCTCTCAGGCCAGCCCTTCCCTAGCTATTTTTAGAAGTTTGAGACTCCAACCTTAAATGGTTTTGATAATAACATTGTGGCCACAACTCTAAGAAAAAATTTGGGAGAAAACTTCATGCTGCATAACTGAGTTCAGTGTTCTCCTTCAAATCAACCCTAAGATGTGGCTCATGGAACATAATCAGATCATTTTCTTTCCTTTTCTAGTTACTCTGTCATACAGAGCTAGTGAGTTGACAAAAGATTTTAATTTTCCTTTAAATTCTAAAGAATGTTAAGTAAAAACAGGAACTATCTTGCTTATTTGAAATCAGGAAATATTGCTTTAATTGGGAACAGAGCATACTGTTATGGAAAAAGTACTCGGGGTCCTGTATCCTTAGCCAACATCCATAACGGGAAGAATTCTTAGTGTCTCATCTCAAAGCTGAGGTGTCCGTCAGAAACAAGGAAACGCTCATATCCTGTAGTTAGATAACGGTGTCTTCAGAAGTAGATACTTAATAATGAATGTGCATACAAAGACACATGATACTCATGTGTGCCTTAGAATAGGCACGTGTATTTACACATGTCACTCATCCACACAGCCCAGGAGCAGATTTTAGAGTCACAGGAGACTTGCTTTCTCAAAATTACCACCCTTTCCAAACTTGACTTATTTTTTTACTCTCGCAATTCAAAATTACAGCAAATCCTACCCTAACGGGTTCATTTAGATTTCAGTTACAAAAATGGGGCAAACAAAATTGTGCCAAGAAACAAACCCTGATCCCTAAGGTGCCAACTTCCGCCCTTCAAAAACAAACACACAACAACTGGACCTCAAAGTGTATAATGACACTATAAAAATTTAACAAGCATTTCCTTTTTTTTTTTTATTTTCGAAGAGGAGAGGGAATCCTGAGCATCAGAGTTACACTGGCTTTAAGTCCGGCCCGTGGGATAAAAGCCGGAACAGAGAGTCTGGACCCACTCAAGCCAAGGTGATCCTCGTAAATGTAAGTCATGGGGCATCTGCAGTCATGGAAGCCCATAGGTCCTAAAGTTATTCCGGGAACCCAGAAAAGGAAAGGGATAACTGGGGGGGCGGGGTTGGGCTGGGGTCCTTGCCCTGCTGGCCTCTTGACTCCACGTTGCACTGGGACTGGGGCAGAAGCTTCCTGCCACCCAGCTCCTGTGCTTGCAGAAAGGGACACCCCAGTGCGGACATACAAGTTCTACCCGGGCCGCTCCAGCAGTCCCATCCACGGCCCTCACAAGTTCTCCTTCAGTAGGCCGAGTTTGCGCAGAGCCTCGCGCCGAGCTTCCTCGGTGGAGCCACGGCCGTTGAACTGCACTGTGATGCCCTGCGGCCGGAAGCCCACCGCCCGGGGGAGCGAGCCCGTGCGCTTGCGGGCATCCTGGCTGCCGTCCGGGCGCGGTTCGTACAAGCTGCGGCTGGCGTTCTGGCGCGCCAGCTTGCCGGTCACAGCGGGGTCTGGCCGGAAGGTGATGGTCTTGCTGGTGGGGACGAAGGAGCTGGGCTCGCTACGCAGGGCCTCGTGCACGCTCTGGAAGCCATTGGCCAGCGCCGGAGGCTGCTCCGTCTGCACAGCCCGGGACTGCTGCGCTCTGGCCGGGACTCCTGCACGCAGAGCCCCAGGCTCGCCGGCCATGCCTGCTCTACCCAGGGTGCGTGCTCCATCTACAGAGCCATTCTTCTGCTCCTCCGCCTTCTGCCACCGCTCTTCCGATGATGTGTCACCCGCAGCAATGAAGGACATGCCATTGATATTGGCCAGGACCTGGGCCTTGCGCTCCTGCACATTGACAGCCGCCTTGGAGATGGTCTTGTTGAAGTCCTTGCCCGCGCTGTTGGTCACGCTTATGTTGCTGGGGAAGCGATGGACCTTGGGTGCTGGCTGGGCCGTGTGTCGGTGCCACACGCCGACATGGTCCCCGTTTCGAGAGGCTAGAGAAGTCGGCGTCCTCCATTCCCCAGGCCTGCCTTCTTTTGAGGGGGATGTGGGGGACAGGGCTTCATTTCCTGCCAACTTCTCAGAAATTTTCTGAGCAATCACCAGAGGAGTGGGCACGGAACGGGGCAGTTTGGGATGCTCTGCTGGAGGAGAGGGGGACATCGGCTCCTTTCGTGGGGCAGAGGGAGCAGGGACTAGTAGGGAGGGTGGCAGAGGAAGCACCTCGGGACTCCTGGAGTCTGGTGGGGGCAGGGAATTCTCAGCGGCTTGTTTCCCACCTTCAAGAAATGGCGTGCTTTGTTTTGCAACAGATGGGGCCCCTGAAAGGAGAAGAAAGACTTCATAAGTTTTTGCCCCAATAAAAGTTAGATGCATGTTCCTGCCCACACTACTCCAGAGAGCCACAGTGGGACATACTATGAACCTCTACAATGTGTAATCAAAACGCTCGACCCGATGCATGGACTACAGAAGAGGCAGTCCGTTATTCTCAGGTCAATACATTCAGAACCAACAGATTCCTGACAGGGTGGTGACTATCTACAGCCAGAAACATCCAGTTAGGAAGCAGTCTGGAAAGGTATGCTTCTGAGGATCCATCACCTTGGGGGCATGTGCCCCCCTGCCCCCAGCCACCTGATCAGGGGATTGTACAAAGGAGACACCAAGTGGAAGATGGGGTGCCCACTTTGAATCCTAGTTTGTAAGAGGCAGGTGGATCTCTGTGAGTTCAAGACCATCCTGATATACACAGTGAGTTCCAGGACAACCAAGATTATATAAAGAGACCTTGCCTCAAAAAACAAAACAAAAAACCAATCAGAAGAGCTATGAAAATAGGCTAGAAAACTGCTGGGCACAAGTGCTAAGTTTTCCAAACCAGTTTTCTTTGGCGTGATTATGTGATCTAATCTTTTTAAAGGATCAGCAAGTTCAAATTACCTTAGGAACTATGCTTCAATGGAGAAACGCAATAGAAATGCAAAATTCAATGTTTCTTCCCTCAAGGACTGGCTGCAAACCATGCTCTCTTTTTATATGGAATCCGTGCGATGTCAGAGTCTGAGTAATGCCTCAAGAGAAGGTGTGTGTAAGCTAAGACTGGTGGTATACACTGTGACGTCAGCACTTGAGGGGCAGACACAAGAGGACTGAGTGTCAGGCTGGGTTATCCAGCAAGCTCCAGGCCAGCCCGGGCTGTACAGTGACACCTCATCTCACCGTACACCCTCTCTCCCAGATGCTTATGATGAACACCAGTATTGACAGTCTGTGTGTACACAAGTGTTTTCTCTCTCTTTTCTGGTCCTGCATGTCCTATGTGTCTCCTGCCCTTGTCTTTAATATAAGTTCCCATCAGCAAGTAAAGGCTGTAAGAAAATTTCACTGCCCATTTCCTTCCGGTTCTACCTCATAACTCAATGGGCATAAGCTTATCTCTTGGTTGACAATGCTCAGTGCCAACTCGAACCTTCTCTGCCCTTTTTTGACAGCCTCAGAGAGCTATGTGTTAGAAATGGGATATATTCTTACAGCACAAATCAAGTGCCCCCCCACAACACAAAACACACACACACACACACACACACACACACACCCTATAATATGGTTATTTGGTCTTCTCTCTTTTTCCTCTCCCTCCCTCCCTTTCTTCCACCCTCTCTCCTATGCTCCCTCGCTCCCTCCCTCTCTCCCTCCTTTCAGAGTTTCATTGCTGCAGAGCCTCCCTTCTAGAAGCTGTAAAGCTTTGAGAGTATCGAACGGACCAGTACAGGCAAACGAGCAGGAAGTGGGAACATGTCTGGAGTGCGCCACCACACCAAGTCAAAGGTGCCGGGACCTGTGTGCTACTGCTCACCTGCTACTTGAGGCACACCTGGAAGGCTCTCAGCTTCCCCAGACGCAGGTGCTGGCTGTACTAAATCGATGACATCTTCGGGCTCTGAGTGACTGGAAGGGCTCTCCTCCAGAGACTGTGGAGAGTGGCAGTGAATGCCACTGTCACACAGGGCTGGCTCATCAAAGTCATATTCCAGGGAATCGAGAGTCTCTTCAAAGAACAGGATGACATCCTTTTCCTCATGTGTGAGGTGCTTCAGGCTCTCGTCATCCTGCACATAAGTAATGGACAGCAGCAACGTCAGTAAAGAGAAAGTCACAAAAAGTAGGAGTCGATACCTAGCCGACGGTAGACTTCCCTGTATCCTGGAAGGTCCCTGCCGTTTGGGTTATCCCACCCCACTGACAAGTGGCCTGTAAGTCCTTCACTGCTATACCTCATGAAAAAAAGACATTGTCAAGAGACGCAGAAACCCGAGGCCTTCCCACCATGGTGAGCTCCAGCACGGAGTCACCAGTGGTCAGTACAATAGAGCATGTCTTAACTTGGAGCTCCATGCCATTGTCCCCATACTACCAAAGAAGAGTTCTCTGAAAAACATATATTTCTTTTTTAATTTTACGCTTATGGTCTTGAGTGTTTTCCCTGCAGATATGTCTGTGCGCTGTGTGTGCTGGATTTCCTGGGACCAGAGGTACAGAGAACTGTAAGTTGCCACGTGGATGGGTGCTGGGAATCTAACCCAGGTCTTCTACAAGAACAACAAGTGCTCTTAACAGTTAAGCCATCTCTCCAGCCTGGGACCTTACTGACTTCCTTACCTAGGCATAAATCATGAAGATAAAAATAACAGGAAAAAGCCTAATCCCAGAACCCGGGAGGCAGAGGTAAGAGGATCTAGTTTGAGTTTGAGGCTAGCTTGGTTTAAAGAGCAAGTTCTAGGACAGCTACACTGGGGAAACCCTGTGTTGGAAAAACCAAAGCAAAACAAAAAACAAACATAACACAAAACAACAAACAAACCCCACAGGCAGCAAAGGGAAGTACAAAGCAGAGGAAGGTAATGAGAGGGGAGACAGGTGGTTTTTACTTCTGTGGTAAGACCTGAAGCTGAGCTGATGGGGAGACCGGGAACAGGAAATGGGGGCGGGGCAATGAAGCCCAACGGATTCTCTTAAGAGCCTTTGGCAGGGGAAAACCTTAAGGACTGGAGAGCCCGGAAAGGATACTTTCAAGGTATCTCTCAGGCAGTATCAATGTACAGGTGGAGCCAGTTCCCACATCAGAAACTTTAGCCAGGGGCTGAAAAGGTGACTCATTGGTTAATGCCACACACCAATCTTCCAGAGGATCTGAGTCCAGTTCCCAGCACCCATGTTGGGCAGCTTACAACTGCCTAGGACTCTATCTTCAGGAGATCTGGTGCCCTCTCCTGGCCTCACCAGGCACTGTACTTCCGTGCATATATACTGCACTGCCACCCCATATACACATACTTCAGAATTTAAAAAATAATACGAAAGAAATGTCAGTCTATATTTTTAAGACACAGTCATGAGAACTAACAGCATGAGAGTAGTGGCTACAGGAAGAGGGGATTTGTGAGTTTTCTGAAAAGCAGAATTGGTTCCTCACATAATATTCTCTTGCACCACAGCTAATGAACACCCAGACTTTTCATTTCCATTAGACTTTACACTTAAGAATCACATTGGATATATGAAGGCATGCATGTTTTCTTGCATCCCATAGGAGTTATTGTAACCAAAATGTCAGGTGCCATTTTGACCTTTTGATGCCTAGAACATACAGTGTCTAAGAAACCCAGGAGTAGTCATTCTGTCATTAAAAGTGTGTCCGCATGCATATGTACATATGTATATGTGGCAGGAGAGAAGGCTCAGTAGTTAAGGACACTTTTTGGTCTTGTAGAGGACCTAAGTTTGGTTCCTAGTACCAACATGGTGGCTTATAACCATCTATAACTTTAGTTCTAGGGGAGCTGATGCCCTTTTCTGATCTCTGTGATGCATGGACATACATTCAGGCAAAACACTTCTTACATACATAAAGTAAGATAAAATAAGACCACACACACACACACACACACACACACACACTGGTGGGGACAGCTGAGTGTCATAACGCATGGTCTTCCTTCTCCTCTTCACCCCACTTCTTACTTTTGCTGGACTGCCTGGTCCCTACTTCCCACATGTGCCACCCCCAGCCATTGTATGACAGACAGTTCCCATCCTTCTTGTCTTTTTTATATTTTCCCTTGTGACAAGGTCTCTCTGCGTAGCTATCCTGGAACTTGCTATGTAGACCAGGCTGGCCTTGAACTCACAGACATCCTCCTGCCTCCACTTCCCCCCCAAGTGCTGAGATTAAAGGCATGTGCCACCAAGCCCAGCTCATGCATTGTGTCAGCACAAGCCTTGCAAGTCTGAAATCATCAGGGCTCTTGGCATAATAAAGATCCCTCTAGTTAAGTTTCACCTGTTATAGATTTTGTCAGGGTGCCACGACAGAGATAACATTACACAAGTGTTGAACCTCCACTCCTGAAACACCAAGTCTAGGGAAATGAATGCATGCTCTCTCCCCTACTGTGACCTTGATGCGGGGCATTTCAGTGGGGTGATGTATGACCCTGAAAATATTTTTATTTTTAATTTTAATGTGTGTGTGTGTGTGTTTGAGGGCATGTGTGAGCATGAGTGCAGAGCCCATTGAGGCCAGAAGAGGATGCTGTATCCCCTGGAGCTATAGTTATAGTAGCTGTGAGCTACCTGCTGTGGATGCTGAGAACTGATATATCCACCGAGGTGTAGTGAGAATTTTTGTTTTTTGTTTTTTTTAAAACCTAACTATGTTATGTGGCTATGTTTTATTTTAATCCTAGGTGTGGGACATGGGGCTGTTTGTCCACAGCTACTAACTATAACTGTCTCATGTTCTAGGAGGTGCATGATTTTTGCCAACTGCAGATAGTTTAATTCTGGGAACCCTGGGAAGGAATAAATGCCAGAGCCCCAGGAGGGGTGAGAGGAGTTCAAAAGAAGGGGGCTCACCCCTGCTGCTCCTGGCTGATGTTGCTGCCATTTGTCAAGTACTCCAGAGCAAAGAGACTAGAAGGAGAAGTTAAAGATAGCCTGACGATGATGATGATGATGATGGACTTGCCCCCAAGGAACCTGACACTCCTAACCTGCAGAAAGTAGCCCGTTTTGTTGGCTGAAAGAGGTCTAAGGCCCCTTTCCCCTCTAACCTCTTTCTCTCCCAGCTAGCATTGGGAAACTGAAAGGGATCAAGGTGGAATATGGGTGGGAAGGGAGAGGTATAAGAACTCAATAAAATAAATGATGATGATGATGATGATGATGATAATAATAATAATAAAACAAACAAAAAACCATACCAACACCCAGCCCTCTCTGCTAGACCAGTATGCACTTGAACCATGATTCTCTATCCAGCCGTACGCGTGAGTTTTGGAGTCCACTTCAGTTGGGTATCATTCTCCTTTGTTATACAGTAGAACTGAAATCGCACCGCCCTGGCTCAGAGTCTAGCTCAAGGATAGAGAACTTGCCTAGGATGTTCAAGGCCCTGAGTTCTAACCTCAGCTCTATAAAATAAACTAACATAAGCGTTTCAAAGGCAAAGTCCTAAAATGGACCCTCGGGTTAAGACACATTCCAATTTCCTACAAGAAGAGGACAACGTCAGGAAGCACTCTAAGGGGACTGGAGAGACAGCTCAGTGGGTAAGAGCACTTGTTCTTGCAGAGGACCTGGGTTTGATTCCCAGTACCCACATGGTGGCTCAAAGGCATTTGTAACTCCAGTTCCAGGGGATCCAATTCCTCCTCCTGAACTCCACAAGCAGCAGGTGCATATGTGCTGTACACACACACGTGCAGGCAAAACACTCATCAAAGAACCAAAGGATGGTCTAGAAGACCCACATCTAATCCAACCTGAAAGCAAGCAGTCCCCATGCGAGGCGGCATCTGGAAAACAGGCTTAGGCGGATGCTTCCCACAGGCCTGCTCACATCCGCATGGAAAGGCCTGGCATGACTTCCCAAGGGTCTTACAACTACTTCACCAAGGGGCCAAGCCTAGTAAACCAAAGATCTTTGCTTGCCGTCTCTTTTGCCCTGCCTAATCCTATTCTAGCAAGTACTGACAGATCTTACAGAGAAGCTGCATGGATCTTGTGCAATATACCTGGGAATTCTCCAGTTCTCTCTTTTTCCTCTTCTAATCACACAACGTGAGTTACAAATTGGTTCCAGCCGATCTGCTCAGAGACAAGACCCCCCCAGGTCACTCAGACTCTTGCATCCTCTCTAGGGTAGGGGCTGAGTGAATGGCATGCTTGCTTTGTAATCAGACTGGCCTGGAGACCTGGACCTTGCAAGTCAAACGTGCTGTGGATTTAGTATGCTGCCTCACTTCCAAGACTTGAAGCTTTCTCCCAGTGAACCTGGACTCTGAATGCCTGGGAGAGGAAAGAAGACAAGGCTAGGCACTGGAGCAAAGAATACCAGGGCCAGAAAGGGGGGCACGTGGTACTAGGCCAAGATGGTTCCTGTCTACTCCTATTCTGGGGAGATGCTGAACATTGCCTCCAACAGGGGTGTAAAAAGGAAGAATTCTTGGTCCTGAGAGAGAAGCTGTGGCATTGAGATATATCCAGAGTCAGAAAGGAAGTTATGGTCAGGAGAGTGGAGCTGGGCATGGGAGGTGATAGGATTTCTCTGGAAATGTTCTAGAATTGACTGGTGATCTCTGGACACTCACAGAAACCATTCACTTTAACTGACATATAAAACATAAAAATTGTGTTTATTTGTGAGGTCCCACGTGACACCATACTCGGCCAGATAGACACATCTTTTAACATTTTTCACTATGGTGAAAACGTTCCAAATCTTTTCTTCCAGGTTTCACAAGTACAGTGCACACTGTTGCTGTCAGTAGTCAGCTGTACAATAACACACCTGAACTTGTTTCTATCTGGCTATGACTTAGTACCACTGATACATCTCTCCCCATTACTACCCTACCTAGCTTCTGGTTACCACAATTCTGCCTGCAACACCTATGAGATCAACTTCTTTTTTCAAAAACTGTCTTCCTTTTCTTTTACTTTATGTAAATGGTTGTTTTGTGTGCAAGTGTGTCTCTGCACCACGCACATATCTGGTGCCCATGGAGGCCTCAAGAGTTGTAGGATTCCCTGGGACTGGAGTTACAGATGGTTGTGAGCTGCCATGTGGGTGCTGGGAACTGAACGTGGGCCCTTTGCAAAAACAGCCAGGGCTCTTAGCTGCTAATCCATCTTTCCAGCCCCAAGACCAAGTCTGTAAGATTCCGTAGGTAAGTGCTCTCGGCTGAGCCTGGCTTATTTCACTAAGTGCAATGGTCTCCATCTGGCTCCATCCATGCTGTTGCAAGCGACAGGATTTTACGTCTGAGTAGCATCCACCCCATTGTGTGTGCGGCACATTCTCTTTATCCACTAAGAAGTGGTGGGCACTTAGCTTGTTTCCATGTCCTTTTTCCTGGGTCAGGAGACAGGCTCTCATCATGTATAGCAGGTTTGGATTCACCCAGTCTGGCCTCAAACTCACGATCACCTCTGCCTCGGGCTCAAGTCCTGGGATCAGAGGCATGCACCCCCATGCTTGGCCCTTGCATTTCTTAGTAATTGTGAATGCTGTCACCATAACATGAAAATGCAGGATGCTATTTGGTCACACAGCAGATCTATTTTTTCATTTTTTAAAGAAACTCCACCCCTTGCTTTTACTAGTAGTGCTAACACACACACACACACACACACACACACACACACACACAGTATGCAAGGAAATGAAGACAAACATAAATGTCTTATTAAGTTTGTCTGCATTAATAAGGAAGGTTATATGCTGACAGCAGTTTGTTGTTTGTTTTTTACAAAGACCCTTTCCATAAATGTTTTGTTTCATTCATTCATTTATTTATTATTTTTATTTTTTTATTTTTGAGACAGGGTTTCTCTGTGTAGTCCTGGTTGTCCTGGAACTCATTCTGTAAACCAGGTTAGCCTTGAACTCAGAAATCCGCCTGCCTCTGCCTCCTGAGTGCTGGGATTAAAGGCGCGCGCCACCAGCATATAATTTTTAATGTACCAATCTTCAGATGCTAGAAAACCACCTCTCCCTTATTCTTGGCTCAGCACACCAAATTCAGGCGATGTCTGCAAGTCTCTGAGTCAAGTTATGCGAAGCAATCTGCCCCCCTCTCCACAACGTGTGTTTTAATAGTCTTTGAAAAAATACTTTATAAACTAATTTTCAAATCAGAAAACTCCATGTGCTAAGAATACTGGATAATAAGAACATGTACTGAACAAGCTTCCCACAAAGAACAAAGCCTCGCCAGCGAGTGCTATTCGCTGCTGTAAAATAGCAGAAAAAAAAAAAAAAGAGGTTTCTAGTCTAATTCAAACTGAGGGGACACCCAGATAAAAGCAGATGACAGAAGGGAATGTCACAATGAAACCCATCACTTTGTACTTTTATTTTTGAGACAGGGTTTCCTCTACATATCCCTGAATGCCCTAGAACTCACTCTGTAGACCAGGCTGGCTTCAAACTCACAGAGATCCACCAGACTCTGCCTCCTGAGTGCTGGGATTAAAGGCATGTGTCACCAAGAAATTTTTTAAAAGGTAGATGACAAACTTTTCTTGTGTGTGTGTGTGTGTTATGTGTCACACACGTAAGCATGCACGTGCCATGGCAGGCATATCCTCTCTCGCTCTTGTTTGGGTCTCCTGTTTGCTGCTGCGTACGCCAGGCTAACTGGTCCTTGAACTTCCAAGGTTCTACCTGTCTGTGCCTTACACCACTCAGTGGGAACATCGAGGTTGCAGGTGCACACTACTGCACATGGCCTTACAGAGGATCCAGGGATGTGACCCCGGGTCCTGACACTTCACAAGCACTCACCCACTGAGCCAGCTCTCCAGCCTACGACACACCCTAACTGAATGACAGTAATACTAACGAAGTCAATAATACAGATAGGACTATGTTAGAACCCATTAGGAACTAGCATGTTTGGGGTGGGCAAGCAGAAGGATACTAGAGAGAGAAAGAAATCCAAACCTTGAGTCGAACTAAGACCTGAGAAGGTTTAAGACACACACTCTAAAATCTACTTTACAGACACCTGGCATTTACTCCTATAATTAAGTTAGGCTTTTCTTTTTCCTTTCCACCCCCACCCCCCCACCCCACCCCCCCGCTAAGAAAAAACATTTAGTTGAATTACAACCTAAAGATGCACAAAGGGAGCAGAAAGACCAAAGAAAAGAAAATACATATTGTAAAAATGAGACAACCAGAGCCTGGTGGGGCGGCACCTGTGATCCCAGCACTTGGGCTGAAGCAGGAGGATCCTGGCAAGTTTGAGGCCAGCGTGGGCTACGTGTAGTCAAGTCTATGCCAGCCTGGGCTGCATGGTAAGACTTATTCGCAAGCAGGCAAAGCAAGCAGAGGTGACCAAACAAATGTTTTGAAAGAAGACCTGAACCAAGACTCTTCACTGATTGTCCCTAGGTCGTCAACTGAGGACACTTTGTCTTGGTGGATTCTGATTTGGTGACTAATTTTTTTTTCTTTAAGATTTATTTTTATTTTATGTGTATGGCTGTCTTATCTGCATTCACACCATATGCCTAGTGCCTAGGATGTCAGAAAAGGGTGTTGGATCCCCTAAAACTGAAGTAACAGATAGCTGTGAGCTGCCAGATGGGTGCTGGGAACTGAACCCAGGTCCCCTGGAAAAGCAGCCAGTGTCTTTTAACCACTGAGCCATCTCTCCAGCCAGATCTCATGTTCTCAAAGAAACCAAAGACCTGCTTGACATTTGAGCAATGCTTCACTGATTTAATTATGTAAACTGATACCAAAACAGAATAAAGGCAGAGGGATGATTCGCAGCTTAAATGTTGTGCTGTCTCTGGCTGACCTAGGCAGAGCCACCTAAGTACACATGGTATTTCCCTACGGGAGAACAAGGGTTTAATTATGCTTATTTCTAACTAGACACTGTTGTAATTTTTTTTCTTTTTTTGCTGTGGCTAACTTCAACCTGTACTTCTGTCAAGAAAGGAACACAAACAAACCAGCGAAGAATGAGGTCTGTGTAAGGTTTGATTACAGAACTGACGGAGAATAGCTTCAAAGGCCTACAAGCTGGGGTTCGGTGGCTTTAAACTTCTTTAAACTGGCCACAGAGCCCTTGATCTCCCGTTTGTCTGATGTTCGGAGAGCCTTAGAGGCTGTGCCACACCACCCCAGCTCCCCACACATCTTGATGTGATCGTGAATAAAACCAAGTTCCATTCAGTTCTTGTGCATAATAGGCATTTTACTAATGTCTAATGAATTAAATAGAAGCTCTCTGGCCATGTTTTCAAATAGCTCATTAGACCAGAATAGTTTCTGGTCTGGTTCAGGGAAGAAGGCAGCTCAGGGTCACTTACTAACCACTCTGCATATCCTGTCTTTCCTCTTGAAATCACAAAGCAAATGGCTTATCAAAATCCTGGGACATTATGTAAACTTGTGCCTAACGTCGCCGGTAGAAGAGCAGTCCCCCACAGCTCGACAGTCCCCTATCCTTGCTCTGTGACTAAGGGTTGTGCAAGTGGGTAGATCTGTGACTACAGGACATAAAGTCCATTAGCTTTGGGAGTTGGGGGGATTCAGGAGAGCTCCCTGAGTATGACATTTTAAAACCTTGCCAGAGAATTTGGATGACTGTTTTTGCCCAAGTCACAGGGGAAAATGATCAGGAAGCGTTGTGGACTGCCCTGAACCCTCAAAGAACTGGACATAGATTAAGGTCACATCCCTTAGGGATCAACTCTATGAAGACCTCCCTACTCTTTCCAGCCTTCCAAAAGCCCGTTGTTTTCTAATAGACGAGCCAATGTGTCCTTGGCAGATTAGGCTTTAAAAACACATCAAGAATAAGAACTCATGCTTTTAATCCCAGCACTTGGGAGGCAGAGCCAGGAAGATCTCTGAGAGTTCAAGGCCAGCCTGGTTTACAAACCAAGTTCCAGGGCAGCCAGGGCTGTTATACAGAGAAACCTCCCATCTCAATAAACAAACAAACAAAAACTCAAGACTATAAAATGTGGCTTTGCTTCCAGAGGGAATGGACATGGGAGGTGTAATGAAGTGGCTTAGTAAGCCTGTTGCCCGAATCAGGTTGAGAACAGGTGGCCTACCATCCCAAGATTTCTTTTGGAAGCACTGGAGGAGAGGGGTGGGGGGGATATGAAAACAAACAAACAAGTCTTTCAAAAGACCTAACATTCTTGGGTTTGTTAGTGCTGTGTAAAGGTCTACATTGAAAGCCCAGGCTTTATAAAGTCCTCAAGTCTGTCTGAAAGTACTGTCTTTATCCTGTGGGATGGCTCCCCTGCCCCGGCCTGGGTTATCAGTGCCTTCAGGCATGGTGCTTTTGGGGGCTAAGCTGCCCCAAGTTACTATCTGTGGCCAGAGATTCCCTCCATTGCCACCACCACGTGCAGAATTTACAGTGATTAAAAAGAAAATGCCAGTTCACAGAAAAGTATTCCAAGACATCCAACAAGGCTTCGGAAGCTGATCCTCAGGTGTGAAGGATGGGCGGGGCCAAACCAACCAAAGCATCTAAAAGCTTTAAAGAAAGCAACCACTCACCATAGTGAAACTTCTGGACCGAGAGCTGCTGCTCCGGCTCTCCAGACTGCCGCCTCTGCTCAAGTCGCTGAGCCTGCAGCTGGGCGACATGTCAGAGTCCATCTCCAAAGACTCTGGTTTCTGCTGGTTCCCAGGCATCCCCACACAAAGCTGTCCCTGGCTAGCTCACAGGAAACAGGGTAGGAGCCAGGGTCCCATTCTGAGGCAGGGGAGGTGTTCTAGGGAAATAAAACACATACCAGGAGTTAGCAACCAGAACCTTGATCACTCTAGGTCAGTCCACACTCATAGACCGGAAGAGTTAGCGCTGAAAATGGCTGTCTTACCCAAAGCAATCTACAGATTCAATGCAATCTCATCAAAATTCCAATACTATTTTTTTTCACAGAAATAGAAAAAAAAAAACAATCTTACATTGCATCTAAAAACACAAAATAGCTCAGATAAGCAAATGAGGGTATGTTGGGCCAAGGGAGAAGGCTCAATGGGTAAGAGGGCTTGAGTCTGAAAACTCGGTACAGACACTTGTAACCCTAGTGCAATGGTGTGTGTGTGTTGGGGGCCGGAGGAAACGGGGTGATGATCACTGGGGCTTGGTGGCCCGAGTTCAGGAGGAATCTGTCTATGATAGAAGATGACAGAACAGGACACCCAGTGTCCTCTGGCCTCCACACCTGCATAGATAGCCCATCCCCACAATTAGTAATGCTGAATGTATCACTATACCTGATTCTAAATCATGTTACAAAGCCAATATGATATTGACACAAAAACAGACATGGAGATCAATTGGACAGTATGTAAGATCCAAACATAAACCCAGCGAGTTCTGAGAAAAACGCCAACACTATATATACTGCAGAGAAGACATCCTTCTTCTTTAATGGACGGTGCTGGGAAAACTAAATATCCCCGCACAGGAAACTGAAACCAGAGCCTTCTCTCTGACCCCACATGAAAAATAACCCCGAGTGGACCAGAGACCTTAATGTAAGACCCCCCCAAAACTCTGAAGCTGGGAGGTAACATTTTAAAACAGGTATAGCTAAGAACTTTCTGAACAGGATTCTAGTCAACAGGTGACAAGTGGGATATCATGAAATGAAAGTCTTCTGTTCAGCAAAGGAAACAGAGTCGGGATCAGAGAGCCCACAGAATTGGAGACAACTGTTGCTGGGTATCCATCAGAGGATTAATAGCTAGATAACCAACTCAAAATAATACTCAACAAACCAGGCATAGTGTCGCACGCCTTTAATCTCAGCACTCTAGAGACAGAGTCAGGTGTATCTCTGAGTTTGAGATCAGCCTGGTGTGCACAGTGAGTTCCAGGCCAGCCAAGACTACAGAGTCAGGCCTGGTCTCAAACAACAAACAAATGAAAAGCTATTCAGAAAGCTAAACAGAACAACACATCCAATCCAAAAACAAACAAAACAAAAACCCCTGAGCTATGTAACTGTACAGGTCTCCCAAGAAGAGATACAAATGGCCAATAAATATTTTTAGACATGTTCAACATCCTTAGCTGTCAAGGGAATGAAAATTAAAACCATAGTGAGATTCTATCTCACGCCAGTCGAAATAGCGGTCACCCAGAAAACAAATGACAACACATGCTGGCAAAAATGAGGAGAAAGAGAGACCTTTATCCACCATAGATCAGAGGCTAAACTTACCTTGGGGATCATTATAGGGGGGTTCTCAAAAAACTAAAAACAATACTTCCTTCCATGTGGCCCAGCTGGACCACTTCTAGGCAAACACCTAAAGGATTTAGAACCTGCTGCAGTGATGTTCAGCACTGCTGACAGTCAGTGATCTAGTCACAATGACTAGGAAATGCAATTAGCCTGTATGTCCGTCTACATGAGCGAGCACGCACACACACCCACACACCATAAGAACATACAAATATTTTTGAGAAAGGGTTTTACTATGCAGCCCTGGTTGGCCTTATATAGCTTGTTATGTAGACCATGCTGGCTTTGAACTCAGAGATCCATCTACCTCTGTCTCCTGAGTGCTGGGATTAGAGTCATGCACCCACCACGTCTGAATGATTTTTATGAAGTAATGGAAGCATTAAAAATGACATTGTGTCTGGGACTTGGTGAAGTAAGCCTGGCATCTTTTTTTTTTTTTTTTTTTTTGGCCCTGAGGGTCTCTACTCTTAGGCTCTGGGATATCTTTCTTTAGGCTTTCCTGGCCTTAGCCACTACAACACAGGCTCCTTCAGGTCACTGCACTTGGGGACCAGAGCTCAGATGGTCGGAAGCATGGTTGACATCTCTAAGCCTGAAGGGTGTCTGAGGCCCAGTGATAATGCAAGTTCTACGGAAGGTGGAAAATACCGGAAGGTGACCCTAGCAAGGTGGTCATGTCCCTATTACTTCCAGGAAAAAAGGCATCCACGGTTAAGAGCACTTACTGCTCTTCCGCAGAAACTAGGTTTGGTTCCTGGCACCAACGTCAGGTGGCTCACAACTGGCTAAACTCTAGTTCCAGAGATTACAATGACCTCTGGCCTTTGTGGGCCCTCGTACACACACTGTTCACATAAACATAAGCACACACAAATACACAGATAAATAAAAAAAATGTCACTCGTCCATGCATATATACATGAACACACACACACTTTTTTTTTAAAGTGCCGAACCAGACATGGTGACACATGCCTTTACCTGCAGGCAAATCTTTGAGTTTAAGTCCAGCAACATCTACAGCATGAGTTCCTGGCCAGCCAGGACTACTTAGAGAAATCTGTCTTGAAAAGTCAAACAAAGAAAATGTGACCCTGTAAGGTAGTTCATTTTCTGACTTTCTTAGCAGAAGACTTAGCCCAGCACCCTAAACACCAAATGAGTTCAGTAAAATATTCTAGAAGATCAACGAGATGACGAAGAGGAACACACCTCTAGCTGACTGACTTAACACAGTCATTTGTGGAGACAGTCAATCAATATAGACCCCTGCGAGGAGATTCTCGCTCAGTCGGGTGAGTGTGGCAAGAATCTCTCTAAGAACGGATTTGAAGAGAGATTTCCACCCCATCTCTCGTCATGTTTTCAGTGATTAAGCCCAGGTCAACTCAAGAGCAAGGTTAGGAAACCAGAAGAGTGAGCACACTTGGCTTTTAAAAGATCCTATTACATCAAATAGTAAGGGGAAACATTCAAAGTGTCCAAACGCTCCGTGTGTGTGTGTGTGTGTGTCTGTGTGTGTGTGTCTGTGTGTGTGTGTGTAGCACAAGTTGATGTGGCAGTCCACGCCTGTAGTCCCAGCACTTAGAAGGCAGAACAGGAGAACCAGAAGTTCAAGGCCTTAGCTTCATAGAGAATTGAAGGCCAGTCTGGGCTATATGTGAACCAATCTCAAAAACCCTAACCAAACCACCACCACAAAAGCCAAAGGATTCAAAAGCCATGCAATAGCATGTGACCTCAAACAGTAACACAATTATATAAGTATCTGAAAGACTTACTAATAGAATAAAAGTCAGGCTTTCAGATAGATACACAGGTCGAACTCCAACGTAATCAGTCTCAAAAGACGCAAACATCTACCATGCATCTAGTATAAACGGCACTGCAGACCTACTGGGAGTGCTGACAACAGGGGCCAGTGCAAGCAGCAAGGCCCAACAAAGGTAGATGCATGTGTTTCAGCTATGCCGGACCCAGGACAGGCTGGAGTCAGGCTGAGTGAGCCAGCCCAGGCAGTGAAGGCAGGCTAATTCTTGCATCCTTCCTGTGGCTCCCACCCACTGACTCAGCTCAAACTGGGTCCTGACCTGAGTGAATCACAGCTCTGAGGAAAGGGGAGAGGCTGTCGCTCACCAGCCTTCCCCAGGAGTCAGCCAGGTGAGGCGGGGTAGGAAGTGCTGATTCACCCGCAGGGTTCAGAACTCCCCAGACTGTGGGAAGGCTCTGGAACTGTGCCCGTCTGGGCAGGGATGGCAGCGGGCAGCACGTGAGCCGTCACGGTGTGGCTGGAGGTAGTAACTTACCGTGATTTTCAAGCGGATACCTTTTGTATGTGTTGCTATAACCTTAAAAGCTAAGAAACTATACCTTTAGGTTCCCTTAGGCTGTTGTCTTACATTTTGTGTATGAGGAAGCTAAGCAGGGTCTTCTACAAGGCCAAGGTGGCAGAAGAGAGCAGGTGAAACCTTGGTTCCACATGCCTCCTGGACGTTAACTGTTGATTTCCAAAAGAACTGAGAATTTCATGGTCCACTATGGTCTAAAAGGCGTGAGCAAAAGGTGATCTCCATCTGGCCTGGAATAGGACACCCTGAGACACTGAGCACAGCCATAGGTCTATGAGAGTCATTACCACTTGGAAATATCTACTGTCCTTAGCCAATCTAGGGTCAGTCTCTCTGCAGTAAGGGAGACTGGGTGAGCAGAAGGTACGAAGAAACCGACTCTTCTTGGGGCTACAGAGGCAGAGCACTAGCTTCAGGAACAACTCAAAGACCAGAAATACAACCACATCTCCTATTTTTGTTTTCTATGCTTATGTTCCATTATTTATCAGAAGCACCCCAGCCCAGTTTATCTTTTGAGCGAGGAGAACAAGGCTGAGGTCATTCATTCATCATCTTAGTGAGTCCGCATCTGCCCAGCGTGGTTTAGTCTGGAGGACAGCAGATAGCTGAGGGGAAAAGTCCAATAGCTACTGAACTGACTGGAAGAGGCGAGTGACATAACTCCCTCTCCCCCCACCCCAAAAGGCGCATCTCATTCTTGTTACTGGGGCATTCCAGAAGGATGGTGCATGCCCTAGAAGGTAAGCCTACTACTACTGTCCCTCCACCACCTTGTCAATAGCCAGTAGGCACACACAACAAGCCAAGTGACTATGTCTCGCCATCGTGGACATGAAAGCTACTGAGCCTGTGGAATCCCCACACTGACCTCTTCTCTCAAAGGCTCATTCACAGGCACAACACTCTGAAGACACCGTTGGCTCCTCCTGCCTCCTGACACTCATAACCAGCCAGTCCCGCAGTCTAATACTTCCAACAGCAACGCACCCGTTTCTTCCTGGCCCCCTCCCTAGTGCAGACCCACTGCCCACAGCGTGCTGCCCACGCTGACCCACTGCCAACCCGCCATGCCCATCTTGATGTTCATCCGTCTTCCCGTCCTTCCTATGCTTTTCTGGCACTATTACACCGGATCATACTACTTAGATGTCATGACTCTGG